GCAAAATTGAAATGTATGTGTTTAAATCTTTTGTGGTGCTATGCTTCGTAGTAATAATTTTCAATTTAAAATGATAAAAAACATTTAAAAATTAAAGAGCAATTAAGCTATAAGCAATAAGTTGTAAGTTCGAATAGCGACCAATTAGTGTTAAATTGTTGGAATTGGAAATAAAGATAAGTGTATAGCATTAAATTGGGACGTTAATTTAACAATCCAGTGATCGAGCTCAAGAGTGAGTTATAGTTAGACGATTTATTGAGAAATCCGTTACAATTGGTGTCAGAAGAGGGATTGTCAAATAAATTCCCAAGGAGATAATTATTTTAAAATTGCCAAGTTTAACGATCTGAAGATTCCACAACTGAAAAAGGAGCTGGAGCAACGGCGACAAATGGATTAAAAACTGAATTACAATCACGGTTAAGAGAGGCCATGAAGGCAGAAAACATTAATGTTGAGGAATATGTCTTTCACATGGAATTAGAGGAAGAGACAACAAAGATAGAAGAAAAGGAAGTGGCTCAATGCTCGTCAAAGATTGTGGACATAAACATGATTTTTGCTGCAATATCGCAGATGGGGAAAGAAATGTCGACACAATTTAAAGAGCAGGATACACGTATGTCTCAAATGTCAACATAAATGTCGACACAATTTAAATAGCAGGATACACGTATGTCTCAAATGGAAACGCGATTGTCAACGCATTTGGAAGAGCAGTTCGCGGCGTAAGATGCACGTATATCAGCACAGGTGTCCTCACAGTTGAAAGATCAGGATGCACGGATATCGCAGGTGACCTCCGAAATAGCAGAAGTGTTCTCACAGATTTCGGAAGAGCGGGATGAAATTAAAACTGAAGTGGATGAATTGAGATTAAATTAAATTGGCCAATTATGTCGTCAGCTTCTGCCAAGGTAAAACCTCCATCCTTTGATGGCACTGCTCCGTTCCACGTTTTTAAGCTTCAATTCGAAAAGACGGCATCTTAAAATAATTGGAACGCTGAAGATAAAGTAGCTGCATTGTTCGCTGCATTAAAAGGATCTGCAGCAGAGATATTACAGACCATTCCAAACTGCGAGGCGAGTAGTTATGAAACGTTCATGGGTGCATTAGAAAGACGGTATGGTAGTAAGCACAGGAAGCAGATCTTTCAAATCGAGTTGCGAAATCGCCGCCAGAAAGCCAATGAGTCTCTGCAGGAGTTTTCTAAAGAGATTGAGAGGTTAGCTCACTTAGCTTATGCACATAAATCCATGGAATACATTGAGGACACGAAAATTCAGACTTTCATCAATGGAATACGAGATAACACTACACGATTCGCTGCATTAGTATGTCCAAAATTAACGTTTGCAGAAACCGTTTCGTATGCTCTGACACAGGAAACTGCATCTCTGCCTTGCAATCAAAATTTAAAGCTCACAAAGTAGAAATAGAGGAACACACTTGGGTGAACCAATTACTTGAAAAAATGGACAACATGCAGAAAGCACTGGAAAAATCTACGGAAACGCATAAGAAAAATGATGGTGTGCTTAAATGCTTCAACTGCGGAAAAAGTGACCATATTGCATGCAACTGTAACCAGCCCAATAATCCAGTTGGACGTAAACGCAAAGCTGAGGAAGATCAAGCAAATGTCAAATCAAACCAATCGTTAAACTAAAGCGAGCCAGCCAAAAAGGGCACGGGCTGGCTCCCGAAAGCAAATGCCCTGTAATCTCCATTTCACAAATAAGCTGGAATACGAGCAACGTTACCGTAAGTGGATGTGTAGACGGTAAAAAGCGCATACTGACTGTGGATACGGGCGCATCACATTCCATAATTCGATCTGATCTGGTTGAGAAAGAAGTGAGACCGTTAGCTGGGGCAAAGTTGCGTACTGCAATTGGGGAAGATACCCTAGTTCTCGGAAAGGTAACGTGCGAGATCGTAATTGGAAAGGCATCCGTGTTACACAATTTTATAGTGGCAGATATCGTTGAGAGACAAGATAAACGTATTTCGGTAAGAGTACTTAATGAGTGCAAGTTACTAATCAAACTCTCCAAAGGAGCTGTATTAGGGCAGTGTCAAGAGATTGAGACCGTGATAAATTGCGAAATAGGTCTTGAGAACGATTCCATGGACAAAAACGATATATCGAGTGAAATTAACGCATGGACTGAGGAACTAGAGGCAAACTATCAAACTATGGCTAAACAACTTCTTCTCAGATACTCATCCATATTTAATAAAGACGATGCCAAACCAGGAAGAACCAAAGTTGTGAAACATTTTATTAACACAGGTGATGCAAGACCAATCCGCGAGGCTCTTCGAAGCGTTCCTTTAGCAAAACGTGAAGTTGTAAGCCAGACCATACGTGAAATAAGCGAAAGCGGCGTAATTGAACCATCAGAGAGTCCGTGGAGCTCACCTGTTGTACTTGTGAAGAAGAAATATGGCACCATGAGATTTTGTGTGGACCATAGAAGGTTGAATGATGTAACAAAGAAAGACAGTTATCCACTACCTAGAATCGATGATACACTGCACTCGTTAACAGGCACAAAATGGTTCTCAACACTTGATTTGAAAAGTGGTTATTGGCAAGTGGAGGTAAACGAAGAAGACAAAGAAAAGACGGCTTTCAGCGTTGGAGATGGTCTATGGCAATTTACCGTAATGCCCTTTGGATTATGTAACGCTCCTGCTACTTTTGAGAGACTTATGCACCAAGTACTAAAAGGATTACACTGGAAGACCTGTTTGGTATACCTCGACGATATCGTCGTGCTGGATAAAAGCTTCGATGAACACCTTAAGAACTTGGAAGAGGTTTTCCAACGGATAGCTAGATGAAAGATGGAAGCAGTAAGAGATTGGCCCGCTTCTAAAAATTAACATGAATTGCGGAGTTTCCTTGGACTGTGTACTTATTATAGACGATTCGTTCCAAATTTTGCCAGCGTAGCTAGTAGCCTCCATGAACTCACGAAAAAGAACAGAGTTTTTAAATGGAATAAAGGACAGGAAGTGGCTTTCCAAACGGTTAAGTACTGCGCCAATGTTAGCATACCCGATCCCAGGATCAACGTTTATTTTGGATACGGATGCTAGTGGCAAGGCATTAGAAAGTGGTTGCGTATTACAGCCAGACCAGACCAAGCCAGAGAGAAAATATTGTGTTACTCGGAGGGAATTACTGGCGTTGGTAAAGTGCATCAAACATTTTCATAAGTACCTTTATGGCCAGCGATTTCTGGTGAGGACAGATCATGCAGCATTAAAATGGCTTCTGCAATTTAGGAACCCAGTTGGCACGGAGGATTGAGAGAGAGAGATGTTGTTGGTGCTTATAGTGGTGGGAGAGTCAACGTTTGTGTTTGTTGTTTCTATATTTTTGCTGTAACTAATAATGCATGAATTGGATGCAATTAAAAAATATAAGTTGCGGGATAAACAAGCTGGTATTGTTTGTTGCTTATGAACTTTTATTATTTCGGGCATTGAACATTTGTTTATTGTTTAAATTTTTATAATTCCTTTCGCTTGGAAGATTTTGGTACAGTCTTTAGAGGATGCTGCATGTTGTTGGAAGCAGTTGATGCAAAACATGTTTGCAATCGGCTGGGGCATAAGGAGGAAGGGAACAATTTGCGCAAAGAGGGGAACGGTTACAACGTTTTTTGAGCAAGAAGTTGGCAGTTTTTGCAACGCATTGGCGAAGGAATAAATTGACGTACCAAAAGTTTAAAAGTTAGTAGCAAAACCCCCGAGGGGTGCGGTTTACTTCCAATAAATTACTAAGTTTAAACACTGACACAACGCTTTGCGAGTTGAGCTCATTTAGTGTTTTCTCCTCTGATACGTTATTTAGAAATGGAGCAAATACCGTTGCGAGTTTCGTGTAGTGTGGCTGATATGGAACATATGTTCAACAAAAGGGTTTGGCCGTGTCAATAGCTTCAATCACTACGAATTTGAACTAGTCACTAGTCGTCAACTTTAACTCAGGAAGCTCTGAAAATCCATAAGCGAAACAATTTTACCAGTTTTCCGTTTCTTTTTACCAGGTCCGGTATCGAATACGGGGCCATTTTGCACGTGGAAACTGTTGCGCAATGTATTCAAAAAGCTTTCCGCTAGCGAACAGTAGAAAAAAAGTTAGACAGAACGGATTAAACGTATAGCAAAAGTCCGAAAAAGAAAAAAAATTCCGAAAACTAAATGTAACTAAACTCGAAAAAAATTTGGAATGCTGCTAATCGATGATTGCTAATATTTTAAACTCTTGGATATATTGGATGTATTCCAATGTTATATCATAGAATATTTCAACAGATTCTTCATTGACATTTCTTTTGTATACAGATTTTGAATGGCAAAGAATAGCGCTTCCAAATATTTTAATTGTTCGCTATTGACTACTGTCTTAAAACTTAGAATGTTCATTGCTGTTTTGATTCAGAGAAGCTGAGTTTCTATAACAGTTAGTACACTGCGTTTATTTTCTTACAAATACGGCTTATGTGATAAATTTAAAATGCGGGTTGTCACTTTTCCCTTCTAGAGGGAACATAAAAAAGTTGTTCAATTTATGATTTCTAGCTTTTGCCATCGTCGCGAAAAGACGCTTGTAGGCAAGCGCATGCTCGGAGAAATGTGTAAAGCGTTTGCTTTTATGAATGAAACGACTTAGCTTATTGCATGTGCGGCAGCGTTCATGAATGAAAATGTTGTTGTTGTACAAATTTAGGATTTGCCAATTTGGCTGCCATATTGATTTCTGACGCTGCTCATGCTATTTGAGAGAATTGTTGTTTTTGTATAACAACGTTTGTATTTTTTCTATTCTTCTTTGGGAATGTTTAGAGAGCTATACGTGTACAGATTCACCGCTGTTATAAAAGCGAGAAATGTTATTTGTTTCTACTGCGAGTGAGGTGAACTCCCCGATAAAATTTTACAAATGTTCGCTGTCGAACCTGCACCTTCTCGTTCTTCTAAGTTCTCTGGTTGAACGATGTGGGTGATGTTTGAGATGCATTTATTTGTCGTTGTCTAATGCTCAAAGATGTTAAAGATGGAATCCATATATTGAAATATTTAAAAATCGTATTTATTATTTAACAAAAAGGCATGTGAGGACATTAAATGTCATTCCTGTATTAATAAACTTTTCTGATACGATATTAAATAAAACACTCAAACTTCAAAAACAATTTCACATCAAATGTCTTTATCATTAATCTTTAATTTTTTCTTAGCACAATCTTCTAATTTGTTTAACCGTAACACACGACCCAGTATTGAATGCTTGAAAAATGATCGTTTCTACCGCGATCCGAATCGACCCGTACATAAGATTTGGACCAACATTGAATGTTCGAAGTATTTCCTTTGTTTAGATGGTGACGTTTTTGAATTCAAATGCTCGGAGGGCTTATTATTTGATGTTGTCAGACAAATTTGTGATTTTAAACAGAATGTGGATAACTGTGATATCACTGCAGGTGAGAAAATATTTCTTTAAATTGTTATACAAATTTTATAGTTTTTATTTTTACGAAATATTGCCACCTTCTTAAGTTTTGTAGAATTATAATTTTTTGGCATACCCCGGGTATACTTTTTGATGAAAAAGTAACATATAAGCATATATGAAATATTCTATTATTTCTTTCCTTTTGATCTTAAACATTCCGACGGACATAAAATGTTTTTTACTACTTTTCCTCGTACCTATCTAGTTTATAATATTTCTACTCTAATATGGATGTATGTAAATATTTGTTTTGTTAAAGAGAAACAAATCCCAAAACCACTATTGGAAAAAGGTGGATGCAAAGACAAAACACATTTAGGTTGCGGCGACGGCACTTGTCTACCAAATGAATATTTTTGTGATGGATCCGTTGATTGCCCAGATGAATCCGATGAGGTAAAATATATTGTAAATGTTTAATACAGGCTTTAGAGCAAATAATATTATTAAAACTTATATAAGGGTTGGTGCGATATGGATAACGATCCCAATGCTGCTGTTTCTTGTGACATGCGTAAATGCCAGTTACCCGACTGCTTCTGCTCCAAAGATGGCACACAAATACCAGGACGATTAAGCCCAAGTATGGTCCCACAAATGATAATGTTAACGTTTGGTAAGAAGTGAAAGCAGTACTAAGAACACAAAAGTAAATATATAACAAATTCGGAAGTTTACTTCCGTTTCAGTTACCTTACGCTGATACGCGTTAACTGCGTACACATGTGTAAGTTATGGCGATTTCATTCAATATTTAATATTTTGAAAACCGGATCGCGCGATAAATATTGAACGCATTTTGTATATAAATGGGCTATATAACGAATCAAAGAATTGAAAAATATTTAAAATCGTGTGATTTTTTTTTTGAAAATGTATTATTTATTCATTGTATACACAAATTTTGGCGTTTTATTATCTTATTAGTGCCCAAGTTGACTTTGACACGAAAGCGATCCATTGCACTATAGAATTCAATAGTCCTAGTAGTAGAATTCAAATAGTCGATCCCCAGCACCCGCAAGTCATTTCGCGTAGTTTGATTCTCAACGCTCCGCTCATCTACAATACATTTTTTTATTAATTTGCATACACTTTATTATTATAATTATACTCTAGCAACCTGTTGCTGCAAAGTATAACAGTTTTGTTCACCTAACGTTTGTTTGTATCACTTAAAACTAATCAAATTAGATATAGGGTTATGTATATAAATGATCAGGATGAAAAGACGAGTTAAAATCCGGATGACTGTCTGTCCTTCCTTCCCTCCAAGCTGTAACTTGAGTAAAAATTGAGATATCTTTATGAAACTTAGTACAACTGTTTCTTCGTACCGTAAGACAGTTGGTATTGCAGATGGGTGTAATCGAACCACCGCCACTCCCACAAAACGCCATTAATCAAAAGAAATAAATTGCCATAACTAAGCTCCACAATAAGATACAATACTGTTATTTGACACACAGGACCACATTAGGGAGAGGCATCTGCAGTTTAAAGTTTTTTAAAAGATGGGCGTGGTCCCTACTAAGTTTAATGTGCATCTCTCCTAAACCACTTAAGCTGCAATTTAACAACAGAAAATTCACTGAAAACAAATGCTTTTAGCACCTTTATCAACAGTGTGAAAATGGGTGAAATCGGGTGACAACCCCGCCCACTCCCCATACAACGGTACTGTTAAAAACTATTAAAAGCGCAGTAAATGAAGCACTAAACAGTCCAGAGACATTAAATTTTATCTCTGGGATGGTATGAGATGACTTTATAGGAACCGCGTTCAAAATTAGATAGAGGGGGTGGCGCCGCCCACTTCTAAGTGAAAATCCATATCTTGGGATTTCAACCAAATTCGGTACAAAACATTCATCTCATACTTCTATGTTATGGAGCGAAAATGGGCGAAATCGGATTCCAGCCACACCCATTTCCCATATAACACCATTTTAAATTCCATTTGATTCTTTCACTTTCCACTATGCAAATCAGACAACAATGATTGTATCGAGTTAAGCCTTTGCGTGAACAATGCGTTTAAAGTATGCCACCTTGCGACCAAAAATTGTCTAAATCGAACTAAAACTGTTCAAGCCCCCAGGTACTGAACATGTGAACCCCAGTGCCTATATTTGACTTTCTACCGAAAATATCAGTCAATGTTTAAGATATGTATATAATTTAAATTATATTGTTATTTTCGTGGATACGTTCAACTTGCGCGTTTGTTTTTGAATGATACACTGGGGTGCCTGTATATTGTATTTATAGTAGGTTGTATACGGACTTTGCTACATTACTGATACAAATATTTTCATTGTCGGTCATTAAATGTTTAGCGTTTGGGTATATTTGTGCCAATATTTCTTCTATATATTCATGACAATTTAATTTATTTTCTAGTTTTCGTAGATAGCAGTATTTGGAGTATTTGCATATGGAGCTAATGTATATTTGGTTGTTCATGTGGAATGTGTCCACTTGCACATATTCACCCACATGTGTTGGTATTGGTGTTTTACCGATAGACTGTTTATTAAGGTGTCTTTCATATTTGTTTTGTAAACAAATTCCGTAGTTTATTGATTCTTTTTCAAAAAATACTGAGTAGAGTACTGCGTTGTGGATTGGTATAATTTGCTTGTGAAAGAGTTTAAGGGCTGTTTGGCCTTTTTTAATTGTTATACAGGTGAGTTTTCTGCTGAGTGGTCTGAACAATCCGTGGTCGTGTTTATTTGCTGTCTTGATAGAGCATCACCGACTATATTCTGACGTCCTGGTTTATATACCAATCTCGCACCATATTCTTTCATTAAATTCTTCCATCTTTTTTATTTACTATTTGGGTTCTTTTCAGATATGAAGTAGATCTGTAGGTCTGTATATATTGTTAGATTTGCTTTTCCATATAAATAATTTTTTAATTTCTGTAGCGCTCATACAATAGCTAGTAGTTATTTTTCATTGGTGCTGTAGTTTTGTTCAGTTTCATTGAGTGTTCTTGATATAAAAGCAATAGGTTGTCTATTTTGTGACAGTACTGCACCTATGGCGAAATTGCTGACCTCTGTAGTCAGATCAAAGGGTTTCGTGAAGTCAGCTTGATTAAGTTCTACTTGAGCCTGGAGAGCATTCTAGATAGTTTCTATAGCTGCTTCATCTAAGTTAACTTCTACTCTTGCACTTTTGTGATTGCTGCAAAGTTTTGAACAAACTTCCTGTATTATTGTTTCAATTTTCTTGGGGTCTACAGTTACCTTATTGTGTTTAATTATGTGTCCTAAGTATTCTACTGAGCTTTGAAAGAAATGTGATGTTTATTAATACGCCATCAATATAAACATATGCAAATTTTCCAATATAGTCACGCAAAATATCGTCAACACATCGCTGAAATATTGCCGGTGCATTTTGTAACCCAAAAGGCAATATAAGAAAGTCATATTTTGCTCCATTCACTGAAAATGCCGTCTTCTCTCTGTCTTTTTCTTTAATTAAAATTTGGTGGAATCCTGATTCCAAATTTATCGTCGAAAATATTTTTGCTCATTTCGATCAGTTATTGCTTGTGTTTTAATCTTCTGAAAATTTACAACCATTCTTCTTTTGGGTTTCCCTTTTTTATTATATATTAGTATTATATGGACTTTTACTTGATTGAATTATCTGATTAGCAAGAAGTTTTTGGATTTCCATTTTCACTAAGTCATTATCTGACATGGGATATGGGCACTGTTTGATATAAATAGGTTCTTCATTATTTTTCTTAATTGTAGCTTGAAAAGTTTCTCTAATTTCCTCATTTCTTTTCATTATCTCTCTAATATTTTCCTCATATTTTAAATTATTTATAGTATAGTTAAGTTTTTGTTCAATTTTCTCTGTCCTCACAATTTTCTTTTGATATTCCAAACTGTAGTCGAATACACTTATTTAAGCTTTCGAAATTCTAAGCCCTTGTTCACCTAATATCATAAAATCTTGTAGCTCATCAATCTCAAAAAACCGTTTTAACGCTAAACCTAACCTACTCCCAACTCAAGACTCTCCCACGGAACCACCTGATTAAGTATTACTTCGTGGGAGTGATAAGACATTTAAGTCTCCTCTCTAGTACGGACTGACGGACGCCTAATCTGTTCCATATGTCTTAGTTTTGTCATGATTGAGGCTGCCGCTTCCTGACAGCTTTCCAATTCTCACCGGACTGACACATAAGTGTCGTCAAGTTTTCCACCATAAAACTACTACCGAGTGAAGTTTTAAGTTTTTCCCTTGTACTCGAAAAGCGAGGACAATAAAAGAATACATGCTCAGAGTCTACTATGCACTCTGTACACATCGGACAGTTCGGACTAACATGATGATGGAATCTATACAGGTAGCACCCATGTCCACTTAGTATTTGGGTAAGGTGGAAATCCAGGTCCCCATGTCGTCTGTCTATCCACGGGTGGATGTCCGGTATAAGTCTGTGGGTCCACTGTCCTTTGAGTGAGATTTTCCACCGCTGCTGCCATATTGATAAGCTTTTGACTCTCTCTGCTCTTTTGGCTCCTATAGACGACTCAGATAACTTGTATACTCGCGCGAATTCGTCACCCTGGATGTCAATGGGCATCATACTGGCTATTACTTCCGCAGCCTCGCTGGATATCGTTCGGGAAGCACTGATTACTCTTAGTGTCGACAGCCGGTGCACTATGTTTATTTGTTTGGCATATGCTTTAACGTTTAACGCCCGGATCCATATTGGGGCCGAATATAATACAACCGATCTCATTACCTTTGCGAGTAAAAATCGCCGGCTGGAACGCACGCAGCCTTTATTTGCCATCATTCTTGATAAGGCGTTGAGGATTTTGCTTGCTTTACCAGAGGTGTATTCTAGGTGCTCCTTAAATTTAAGCTTTGAGTCTATTATTACTCCCAGATACTATAGTTGTGGCTGTGATTGAATCTCACACTCCCCTATGGTGAGAGATATTGGTTCCTCCACTTTCCTAGTACTTACTAGCAAGACTTCTGTCTTGTGCTCAGCCAGAACTAAATTCCTTGAGGAGAACCATTGCCGCAAACTATTGACACATTCATTGCATTTGCTCTGGAGGTCATCTGCTGTTTAGCCACTGCTACCACTATAAGATCATCCGCGTATGCGATTAATTTCCCGGCTTCTGGTTGGTTTATTCTTAGCACCCCATCATACATCACGTTCCATAGAAGGGGGCCTAAAACCGAGCCTTGCGGTACTCCACTCGAAATAGCGTAGCTCTTGGTGTCTTCATCAGTGTCAAATATTAGTTGCCTGTTTTCTAAATTATTTATAATAATGTTTACAAGATATTGAGGAGCGCGTATTTCATACAGAGTCTTGATTATGTTTGCCCATTTTGCTGAGTTGAAGGCATTCTTCACATCCAGGGTGATCAGGGCGCAGTATTTTTTAGTCCCGCCTTTCCATCTTTTTCCACTTACTGCGCTTTTCGCAGTGTCAACGACATTGTTTAGTGCGTCAATAGTAGACCTCTTTTTCATAAAGCCGTATTGTCTTTCTGATAATCCGCCGGCTTTCTGGATTGCTAACTCCAAGTGGTTGCTTACTATGCTTTCGTACACTTTGCCAATCGTGTCAAGCATGCACAGAGGTCGATATGATGAGGCTTCCTCCGGAGGCTGATTTGGTTTAGGTAGTAGAACCAATCGTCGGGGAATATTTCTTCTTTTAAGCATGCATTGTACATTTTTACGAACACATTTGGTTTTAAACTCATGGCTTCCTTTAAGGCTCTGTTTGGTATGCCATCTATACGATGCGCTTTTGGGTTGTAGTGTCTTATTCTTGAATTTTGACATGCATATTTTGTACGCCGTACCCCAGGGGTCTACGTTTGCTTCCTCACAAATCTTTTCAAAACTGTTCCTTTTGCTGCGGGCATTGGCCGACTTTAGAAGCTTCTTTTGTCTATTAAAAATTTCCCTGAGACCGTTGAGAGAGTCTAGCTGCATTTCAGAGCTTTCTGAGCGTTGCTATTTCTTCATTCCACCAAGAGACGGGCTTTCGTTTGTTGTGGTGTACTGTTCTGCGCATAGTTGCGTCGCATACTGTGACCAGTTCTTTCCGCACTGCAGACACTAAGTCGGTGGCGTTCTCACCTGGTGTATTTGCAGAGCTCCAGACTATCTCAAAAAGGTCAGCATCAAACTCCTTTTGTTTCCAGCTTCGTTTTTGGCAGGTGTCCTTGCTGCGGTGTTCCGTCTCTCCAAAAAACGAAACATCAGCAATAATAGCCATGTGGTCACTATTTGTGAATATATCGGATACCTTCCACTTAATGTGCCTGCTTAGAGCATCGTTTGCAAACATGAGATCGATTATGGAGCCTTTGTTTCCTTTTTGAAAGGCGCTGGAGTTGCCTCAGGGCGCGGTACATTGATGGCGGACCTCACAGCTGGCGTTGGTGTTGCTGCCATATCTACATCCATATTTATCTGTGCCACTGTATGTGGCAGGAATGAATCGTCAACTTGATCGATCATTGCGGTTAGAACGGTTAGCATTTACC